AATTGCGTTAGAATAAATAAATGCATAAATCCAGCATAGATAATTTAATGGATAGTATTTTTTTCTGTTTCCCAAGGAGAACACTCTGCCTCAGTGAAAGAATGTAATTAGAATTTCTAATATATGAGCAATGAGTTTAGCAATCTGTTATCAAAAATAATTCCTATGTGTTTACAACACTGCACTGTATCAAGCAGATTATCACTGACGGTATGTATAGGAGTGAGTGCGAGAGTAGGAGAAAACAAGATAACATCCTCAGCATACTTGAGAGTTGTAAATTTAATATTATGAATGTAGAAAGTAAACAGATGGAGACCCAATATTGAACCTTGTGGCACACCTTTCTAAGCACTTAATCAATAAACAATGGCAAGAACAGTCTCAACTCTGCCGGAAAGCTAAGCTAAAAACAACTTTAAAAGGTAGGTTTTGTATTTTTAAAACTGGACCCTATTTTCCATTATTTTAGTGTCTACGTGACTAATGGGAATGGCAGTTTTTGAAATTTGTCCAGTATTGGGCGAGGCTGCAACAGCCAGCAGCGGTGAAACAGGCCTGGTGACTTGCAGCATCAGAACCGACATAAAAAGGCGTCCTCTAACGTCGGCATGATACGCAGCCAGTTGCCGTTATAGTTTAATGGTGTCCAGCGGCGTCGGGGGGAAATGCGCCCAGATAAGGTCGAAAGTTAAGGCGGTGAAAGCCTCAGTGGGGCAGCAAGAAAGGATGGTGGATTGGTCAAACAAACACCGACCTTCACCAAAGAGAGTAGTGTTCTTGTCCCGTAAAATTCTAAATCCAAACCCTGTTGTTTTTAACTATACCTAACCACATGCTTTTGTTGCCTAAACCCAACCATGTGTTATGTGCATCAATTCGCAGTGCTGTACCGACGCAGTGTGTTTATTTAGAAAGAGTATGTATGTAAACGTCAAATTTCCTGTGAAACCTGAAGTGTATTTTGAAAGAAGACAATGCATGTAACAGGCAGAACTTGACATGGTGTCCCAGAAGGTCAACAACCAACGCACCCAGGGTACCTTGCACGTCGTATGTGGACGTGGAAAGTCCGTGACCAAAACGTCAATATGTCTGAGTGAGAATGTGTTGGCAATGTAACCACTTGGGGCATGTTCGTACCGTCAATTTACGTCCACTAAAAGTATGTGTTTTTTTCCACTGACAAGCCCAGAATATTATTTGAAATGACTGACAATTTGTGGAAAGCATCCCTACAGAGACCAAACTTTTTGTTTAAGAGTGAGACCCTTTTTTGTTTAACCAGAAAAAGGCCTAAAATCGCATTACGAAACCAACCAGACTCCATTTAAATCATTTTATCAGGTATCGATTAAACGTATTTCAGGTCTAGCTGGTCAAATTAAGGGTTTAATTCAACCAAATCCAAGCTGGTGATTGTTGGAACAGTGGAAAGATGAACCAAAATGTGAGTTTCATTTTGCTTCTGTGACTGAATAAAGTGTGTGTTATGATGATGACATTACTGTTTATCTATATGGAGTCAGGTGGGTTTGGTGATAGTGATTTTGGGCTGTCTCTGGTTAAACAATATAGATCTTACACTTAAAAAAAGAATTATTTCTCTTGGGATCCCTTCCATAATATGGTCAGATACTATAACAATAATCTGAGCCTGTCAGTGGCAAAAACAAGGACTTTTAGTGGATGTAAACTGACAAACATGCCCCGAATGGTTACATTGCAAACTGTTTTACGGCTGCCAGCTGATCTCACGCAATATTGGACCAATATTTTTTTTAAAAATGTTGTTCCCATTAATCACTCAGTCACAAAAACATAGGGAAATAGAGTCCACGTCAAAAAACACCGAACTTACCATTTAAGAAGAATCCAAACCCATGAAAAGCAACTTATCTGACAAAATGTTGTGATGGACTGAATCAAAAGCCTCGCACTGATCTTGATATGGAATATGTTCTTCTAAAACACAGACAGAAAAGCCTGAGGCTGTAGTCAATATTTTTTTCTCTGTCATGTCATGTCAAGACATGAAACATCACTTGTACAAAGACAAAAGAAAATGCCTGACAGAATATACCGATACAGGAGAGCTACAGTATCTTTACACTGAGGCTGTGGTGTCTGACACATATGCCTGTACTGGCATCTGAAAACATGAGGCAGGCTTAGCAGATGCTGGCTGCTTATGTAATTCCTGCCATTATTGTAGTGGTTTTTGGCCGGCGTTTGCCCCGTCCCCCCTGCACTGTGTGTTTCTGCTTTAGAAATCCTCTTTAAGTGGATAAGAGCCATACAACAATCCATTGATGAGAGCAAAATCATGCCTATATCACTTCTGTAGACACTGCAGCCCGTGTCATATGGTGCATTTAATGACACTCAGGCTTGTACAAGTTCCACAACATTTCCCTTCAGTATTTTTGGAAAGGTGCCGTTTCAGCATTCTGGGCTCGTTCCTGTGGACGAATGTTGTGATTGACTGCTTGAAAATGTAACAACCCCTGATTTTTTCCAACCGTCAAAGTATGAAAATCCTCTCATCTACAAGCAACACTCCAGCCAGTGTTCAACAATAACTGTGATGATCAAGGAAATCTTTGCAGTGTCAACTCTGATGTAATCTACAATTTAATCACTTGTATTGAAGTTGATTGTGTTCAATTCCAGTTGGTGGTCTAGTTACTACGAGGAAAAACACCAAATAACCCAGCAGTGTTATTTTGTTATGATCAAATGGAGGTGCATCAGTCAACACAAATCCAGCGGTAATCATCAAGTCTGCAGACTTGTCATGACCAGGCCATGAAAGATAATCAAGCCGAGGGAAACATTTCTCTCCGTGGCGTCGGGGCACGGACTGCTAATACAATTCCTGTTAACCTCCTCTTTGTGCTCCATTAATCTGCATAATTCAGAATGTCAGGATGAAAAAAAAATATGACAAAATCAAAGCAAAGAAAAACAAAACAATTATACCTCTGTGATTATTTTTTTCTCCTGATAATTTTTGTGTCTGTTTTTGTTAGAACCATTGGGACCAGTGCGAGTAAAATGTTTGAAACTGTCTTCCCGAGAGTGTGACATTGCCCCCGAAATAATAGGAGGGAATTGAAAACATGGCCTGTCAATTAATTGCTTGTTTATTTTAATAACAGCCATGATAGGCAATATTCTGAAGCGCAACGCTCCACCGGATATGGAGCTATAAACAGACAGGCCTAGTCACTCACACACTCTGTAAAGCTCACACATTTTGGCCCGTGCTCATAAAATGTGTCTCCACCACACACACAAACACACACACACTTAAACCAACACTGACAGACTATTTTACATAATATAAAATACGACAGCTTAATGAAAGCATTAGACATTTTTGTTTTTCCCTCCTCTTGACGTGATCTCATGCTCGCTCACAAATAAACACGACTGTCTGTTGGGATGTAAGGAATCCTTATGTGGCCTCAATAGAAACACTTCACCTCATATGACCGAACCTGCAATCTGGTGATGTGGCTTGTATCGCAGCACTGCATTAAAAATGAATGCGAGCAAACAAACACAGACACTCGACATCTTAGAAGCACAGCACAAACAGCAGCTCAGCAGCAGAGAGGAGATGAATGAATGACCTTTGTGTGGTGTCTGCAGACATTACCTAGCTTCCTAATGGCCATAAGGGACCAGATAATAGTGAATGAATGAATAAATGAATGAATTCCGTTACTTCCCTGGTCCATGACATACTTTGACAGCACAAAAACCCCTCTGCCTGCTCCAGCAACACGGTAAACAGTTGGGATCAGCTTTGACACATCTACACTGTCTATTGTTGACATATTTGTGCGGCCGTGTTGTCAGAGTTGTTTAACTTCAGAGTGAGCCAATAGTTCACACCGAGGTTAAGCAAGTTAGCTGCAGAAAAGTTGTGAAAGTGCCGTTTGCCTCTTACCTCTGGAAGATAGATGTACAACTTAATCGGCTATTTACTTGGGGTCTGACCTACAGAGCAGATTTCTCAAACGGGATGGGGGGCAAACTTTATGGGAGTGGCCACTTTTTATTTTGGCTGAAATGAATTTTGAGCAGTGAAAACTTTCATGACCTCTCCTGTAGTAGGAGAATATATGTGAATGCATTTCTTTCTAAATTCTTCTCAAAAGTAGGGGGTATTTCTTAATCTAAAACTGAAGACACTATGACTGAGATAAACAGAGGTGGAACAAAAATGGCAGCCCCATCAATGTGCATGTCAAACCTGTCTTTTAATAGTATACTATACAGGATTGTCAGTTACTGTCGGTAAACATGCAGCAAAAAGTGAAAATAATGGTCAACCCCAGATTCACCCTCATTTGGCCTTTCACCTTGCTGTATTTGCGGTTTTTCGGCGCAATGTCTCTTTGACGCCTGCCGATAGAAAGCCGACAGATATCTTTCCCTTCTTCTGTAAATATTCAGTCTGATAAAACGGAAAAGTTGATCATGTTAGTGCAGGGCTACCCAGAGCTTTACATCTGCCCCACGGATGATAGGCCTACACTCTGATAAACAGCACCTGGAATAAGATCTGCTCTGCTCTCAGGATTTCAGGTTGCATATGTACGGTCCACTAAGGTCCAGGGCTGGTACCTGCGATTATTACACAGGCTAGTTAACAACACGTCAGGCAGGAAATCTAAAGTGTGGGATCATTTTGAGAAGGTGAAGGACGAACCCAAGGTGATATGAAAACTCATCTTCATTGGTCGACTACAAACATGACGTATCATCTGAAACATTGAAGTAGCTACATGCCCATTAGCCATTAATATCGTAAACATGCGGGCGACATAAGTCAACTAACGGCCCTAAATGACGACTATCGGTTGACTAGGAGAGTTCTTAGTCAGGGTCAGCCCTGTTTAGGAAAATCCTGCATAGTATATCTTTTATTAACAACTAAAATGCAATCAATGATGCTGCTGACTGTTGTTCACTGATATGACTCTTACCGTTGGGAGAAAATGTCCCTGTAGGGGCTGCCGTGCTGCATGGCAATACCATATCCCCGGTCTGGTGCGTTGCTGCTGACAGTGTAGAATGAGCAGTCTTCATCATTATTGGCAACGTACTCCAGCACTGCTGCATCCCACACAAAGCCAAATCGCCCGTACTTCACCTGAAAGAACAAAAAAAGACACTTACAACATTTGGAAAGGTGGATCTTTACCTCAAGTTCCACAGGTGATAACCAACAAAGTTCTTGTTGAGTTAGTGAGAAGATTCGTCGAGAAGTCCTTGACGGGCTTCTAGCTTGCCCTCTAGAAAACTGACCTATCTAAAAATGTCAATTACTTTTGTGCAAACACTGTTCGATTCAACAAACATAGGTGGTGGCATATTTTACCACTTATTGACCTACATATTTGTTGGAGCAGACTTTTACTTGCAGAAACATTTCACATGCCTCTATTTATTGTGCATTTCATTCCTTTTCTTGGGTCAAATGTCTGTTTACAGAGCCTGTTTCTGCACTTTCCACAGTATAACAGTACATTACAGTCTTTGATTCAGTGTCTAGGTTAAACTTCATCACATATACCTGTAACAGTGGTTGAGTGTAGCTTTTAATAGCAGTTTAGCTTATCCTTGACCCATTAAGAAATATTCTTTAGACCCTCTCCTCCTGTGTGTCATGGTGGTCGAGCTGAATCATGATTAAGTACATTCAGAACAGGGACTGTAGAGGTGGTCTAACTCACCCCCGCACACAGATTATTTAAAACCATGGTCTATCAGTATTTTTAGTCCAAACATGCACCAACATCACACTCCTTATACTGTAGGACAACAAACTTGACAGCACAGCAACTTTACTGTTTAACATTCCCTCTAGACTCTGTGCACAAGTGTTAATGGCTTGTTGACTCATCTTTATTACACCCTATGTGGGCATGTCTTGGATATATTTTATATGTTTATGTGCACGTCCTTGTTTAGTATGTGTACGTGTGGGCAAACTGTAGGTGCGTGTTAAGTGTTTGCTTGTAGCTTGAGAAAAAACAGAAGGTCAAAGGGACTCAAGGTGAGAATCACAGCTTGGTTTATTGAAGTTAAGGTGCCTGTTGTTAACATGGCTCCTCGTTAACATTCAATAAATCTTTATTTTCACAGGAAAATGAAAAGTGGAGAATAAACAACCTGGCTGTGATATTCACATCCTGACATCTCTTCTGACAATTCACTTGAACAGACACACACATAAACACAGGCGCGCACACACTTTTCTTCTAACATATTATTTTGGATGTGGTGTGTCATTAACTTTAATGGAGCTTTATAAAATTTTCAAACCCCTCTGTCTTCACTATGTGGGCTTGTGTGTATGTGTGTGTGTGTGTGTCACCTCAGTTGGCCTATGTGTGATGACTAATGTCTGAGAACCGACAAGACCCTCTGATTGGGTAATTTCACACTCTGTAGTCCTCTGAAGTGTGTGTGTGTAAGTGTGTGTGTGTGTGTGTGTATTCATGTATGTGCGCAATAATTCACTGCAGGGCATCAGAATGGCTCATTCTGCTCTTTACAACCTTAAAAAGAGTGGAAAGAGCACTTTATTACTTTGAAGAATAATTTTATGGCTTTTCATTATTGCTTTTGAATTGGAAAGATTATAGGCTTTGTGGAAAGGAAATTAGTAAAAAATCTGTTTCAACAGCCCACTATTGTACATTAAGGACACCTTTTTTTCTCGTTATTTGGGTGAAAAGGTCTGAAGAGAATTATCATGCACAGTATGTAGTGACCTCTGAGGTCAGCCACACTGAAAACACAACAAAGCTGTGTTAATCTCACTGATCTCATGACCACAGTCATGCTCAATTTGAATTCAGACACTTTACATGCTAAGTATTAAAAAAATGTCTGTACAATATGCACTACCCCTCTGGAGAAAAGTGAAAAACAATAGTTGTTTGTAGACTGCTAATTAATGCATTTTGTTTATTTATTTATTTATTGATAGTCGCCTTTCAAAGCGCTCAAGGACACCTTACAAGACACAGTTAATAAAAAAACAAAAACATGCAGCAATGTCTCCATAGATTATAAAAACAATTCTACAATATACAATACAAAGTTACAGTGACTAGACAAATAATATAATTAGAAATATTAGGTATAAAATCATCATCTGTTCAATCAGACCCAATATGGCAGCTTGAAAAGGTGCGTTTTCGGACACGATTTGAAAGTGGAAGGGAGTCAATATAGCAAATGTCGTGGGGGAGAAAGATCCAGAGGCGGGGGGCAGAACAGCTGAGGGCTCTAGAAGCCATGGTGGTCAAGTGGGCAGGTGATGATGTGAGTTGGATTGCAGAAGAGGATCTAAGCGTACATGAGGGTGTGTATATATGAAGGAGTTCAGACAGGTAGGAAGGAGCTTGATTATGAAGGGCCTCAAAGGTGAGAAGCAGAATCTTGTAATGGAGGCGATATTCAACAGGAAGCCAGTGAAGCTGCTGGAGAACAGGAGTGGTATGATCTAAGGAGGGGGTTCTAGTGATGATATGGGCGGCCAATTGGCATGGACTACTAATGTGCACAGATTGCCTGAATTGTTTACTTGTAATTTTGACCTGGATGCTGTAAAACCTCCCTTTGAACCACTCTGTAAACTATCTCTTGTATGAATGTGTTTTGTATGAGTCCTGGTTTCAAACCAACTTCCCTGTCAGGGACAAGAAATATACTTTGAACTTCTTGGCAAAGTTTAGAGAAAAGTTTTGGTCAAATGCGAGAGTTTGCCTTGACAGAAAATCAGCATTCATATTAACATATAATAAACTCCAGAGGTGGACTGAGTAAGGTGCAGATTGTGGCCATTTTAGACAGTGCATGCAGCATGGCTGTGCCTGGTGGAATTGTCCCTCCTGGCCTCATTACAGCGACGATGGCAGCAAAGATGACAAAAATGTTTCCTGAAATGCCTTTTGCTCTTTGTGATTTTGCTGAGGACTTGTGGCCCCAACCGACTGATAAGATGAGTGAGGAGTCGGCAGTAAATGATGGCGTAAAGCAGTCAATAAAACAGGTTTTCAACACCGTGAATCAACCACAAGAGGTCTTTGAGCATATAATCATAAATATGCACACAAAATATTAGGCTGATCGGTCCAATAATATGCAAGATTACCTGCGGACAAACAGATGCAGACACACATACACACAATTGACCAAACACATGATCCCCCTCCAGGCTTGTGCCTGTCAGATATAATTAAAGGGCCATTTTACTGCCGTGTTTACAAAAACTGATGTAAACAAAGTCTTTAACGGCATCAGAAAACACCAATAAAATAAATTTGGTAGTTAAAAAGTCCCAGTATTATAAAAGATCTGTCAATAAAGTTTAGAGGGATGACAACTTCCAGTTCTGTCCTTTCAATTTCAGTGTTTGAGGTAACACTCTTAACTTTCAATTGAATCATGGCAGGCGCTTAAGGGGAAGAACGCAATGACAAAAAAAAAAAAAAAAAAAGGAACATGTTTGTAAGGATTTAAAAGCCCTTGTGTGTTGATGCTTTTCAGAAGCAAGGACAGAGTGGAATTAATGTGTTTATACTGACTCGTGAACCATTTTCCAGGAAGCTGAATGGTGAAAGAAAATAACTCAGACTCTCATAGATACTCTTTAATGACCAAAGTGGAAAAAAAGAGCAAGATCACATGAAGAATACCACAAAAAAGTATCAGACAGAGTCTGTGTAAAGTGACAAATGGGATGGTGAGAACGAGTGGGAGTGGAGGGAGTACTGCACATGCTTACAAACACCACTGGCCTAAAATACTATGGGTAAAAGAGAATACGGGTGAGAAAGGGTTAAATGCGTCAGGCTTCAAGGTTGTTGCCTTAATTTTGTTAAACCTGCTATAAAGTCTCTTTCAGTTTCACTTAGTTCGCTTTTAAAATGAGCAGCACAGAATGTAAGGGATGTGAACTTTTTCAGCCATGAATTCGGGACCTCACATGAGGTCACTTGACTTAAAGATCAGTTCGAATGTACCAGTGTTTCCATCACAATAAAACTTCTTTGAGCGCAGTCTGTCTTCTCAAAGCTTTAATCCAATTAAACTAGACTCGATAAAATAATAATTATAGCAACGCCAACATAGCACAAAATCACATAAAAAGGAATTATCCCTACAATGAAAATTATGCTGGCGCCTGTGAAGGGAAATGCTCTTGCCTGCAGCTGCGTTTCATAAACAAAGACAATGTGTCTATGAATAGGGAGCACTTTATTTTATGTATCAGAACAAGTGCTCTACATGCAAAGCATCAGTTTAATATTGGCTCAAGTTTGATTAATTACTAGAGACAAAATCATGATCGTGGGGGCAGCATAAAAGTGATATGTTGAAGGTCAGTCCTTCCCTCTGATGGTGATTATCTAAGCAGCTCACATGAAAAGATTTGCAACTTTCTTACTGCTGAGAACTTTGGAGCCGAAAAACACGTTTATGGGCCGGAGCAGTGCGGGAAAGCCTTTATTATTCTCTTTATATGCCCACTTCTCAGAGCATGTTAAATGTACTCGTACTTTGTTTTGCCGCTCCCCCCCCCCACCCTTTTTTTTTTTTTTCCACGGTACTTCTTTTCCGACTTATCAACAATACGACTGCTTTTCAAGTGTCTGACACTCAGAGCTCACATCCCCGAGGTCTGCAGCCTGCCAAGGTTCAACGATGGAGAGGAAAGAGAGCAGCGCTGAGGAAAAGAGGTAGACACTTAAACTCTACATTCTATCTGTTGCTAGAGGAAATGTAAGGTCACTGGCAAACAAGATAGATGAGCTCTATAGTTTGTTAAGGACTCAGTGGGATTATCTAGACAAGGCAGCTTTATATGCTTCACAAACCACATTTGCATGCGTAGTGTTACCCGGCAATGGGCTCCAATTAAGGTCTTAAACTGTTTACATGCACCTTTGACACCCAGCGATTGAGTCACCATGTTTCCACTTAAACTAATATTCCTCAGAATAAAATATACCTTTAAACCAGTGAAAGAAAGAGCTGCAAGATGCTTCCACCAGCTACCTCCTGCTTTTTTAAACTGAGGCCTTTCAAAATTCTGGGGAAGAATTCATGATCCCAGTAGCAATAACAAATGGTGTT